TCTCTTTGAATCCTTGACTACACCAGTTAGGGAAAATATGAAAATGCATTTTGTAAAACAAATAACCTGCAAGAAATATAATTTCACATGTTATTATGAAAAATCTAATATGGACACTCGCCATCCCTTGGATTCCTGGTCAAGTAATGGCCACCAGCCATGGAAATCAAAACACACTAAGCAGAAAGGTTTGAAGAAGGTTCATACAGCCAGGGTAGATCAGGTTGAGATGCAAGTAGGCAGTGGGGCTAATAGAAGAGCATAAAAATGTCATAGTCTTCAGGAAACTTCGATCAAGATGATTCTATTCAAATGGTGTGACTGGAAGATGTCCTTAAGACAATTAGAGGAAATAGGGCGAGGTTCAATATACTTCGTGAAGAAAATCTAGGATAGTTGGGACTTTGTCTCACCATGCTCAGGAAAACTTCATAAATATACCAAAATAAAAACAAAATCTTGAGTCTGAATAAATTGGAAAAATCATGCAAAATTGAAAGTAAAACCAGTACACATATGTGTCAGCAGTTACATAACACACACAGAGCATGAAGTTAATTTTGAGCAATGGTAAAGAAATTTTGGTGCAAACAATTGGCATGCCTTTGCATTAATCCAAACTGCTGCTGACAAGTAAGTTGAGTCAAAAGAAACAAGCATAAAAAAATAAAGGAAGGTTCCACTGAATAGCAAACATCACCATTGTTAGCTGTTTGTACATGGTACCAAAAGGGGTAAAGACCAGCAAACACACCAATGGAAAGGATTCTCAGATGACTGTAGTAATGCTGGAAGACGTCTGTATTATGTACTTTTGTTCTGAAATAATCTTGTACGCTGTGAATGCAACCAGTGACGCAGGCAAGGACTAGCAAATTTTTTTGCAGGCTTGGAAATCCTCTTATTTGTATCATGTAGTGCCACATTCCATGTTTTTTAGAAATGAACAAGAAACTATGAAGTCTAACCCAACCTGTTGTGGTTGATATTTATCCATAACTTTCTTTGCTTCAGTCTTGCTCCTGATAAGCTTGGAGGTACACATAGGAGACCTTGACAAAACCCTGCAGACTACAATTAGAATTCCAGTGGTGCATTAGGGAAACGGAATTTTTGTGAGTTTTAAATGCAATTTTAATTCAACATGATAAAAAACCCAAAGCTTGTGCCCTTTGACAACCTGCTCCCAAGTCACCCAAATAAGAACGAAACTATAATATAGTAACAACCAATGATCAGAATACGACGAGCATGATGTTCATACATAACTGCGACCGCTATAAGGTAAAACGAAAAGAGGGGTTGCAAATTTTAAGTATTTCTGGCAAAGAGCAGAATGATTTTGCCAGCAGAGGTCCTTAACCTAGTATTTTAAGGTTTATTTGTGGCTTTATAAACCGATATAGCAACTTAAACTAAAAGTACAATATCATGTCTTATTACTAGACTTTCTCCTTCCCATCTCCCAAACTAAGGAAATGATTTTTACCTGGATTCTTCAGACACTTAAGAGATTATATTGTAAAGAAAATTGTGACCTGGAAAAACAAAAGTTCAATTCACTGTTTTAAAAAAGTTCCAAATGGTAGGTGCTACTCTACTAGCAGGAAGGAAAATCTTCCTTCCCTTATCAAGAATTTGTAATGAAGATTTTCTATTTTATATTCTATTATGTTCCTAGCTCAGAAGACAAGATCCTTATTTTATAATTGCATACCAGAAAACATAAAACCCATTATGGAGGAAACGTTCACATTGTGAATATCTCTCGATAAGAAAGGTATCATCAGTTCTCTTTTCTGAAAAATTGGTAAAGGAGAGAAATCTTTCTGGTAATTGCAAGTTTCCTTAAAATTCAGTGATAGAAGGGGTAGACAAAAGACTTCTCTGAAGGTAAATATTTAAAAATTTTGAAATAAAACATCAACCTTCATGAGCAAATCCATAATACTCTGCAGTTCACAGGAACAGGATGTTGGCAGAGAAGGCCTGGCAATCCCATGAATCTGACCATGGGCTGGACTGAAAATCAAGGACAGAACTCAGGTCGGTGTAATGGCGGTGGTAGCAGCAAACTGCTGCTGGCGACCTCAGTCTCCAGGTGCACCAATGTCACAGAAGGCTAGTTAACTGAACTACTCAGAATAAATTTCTTACCCCAGCTGGTAAAAAGCAAGTAGAATATTCAATTTCCAGAGACTACATTTACCCAGCAAATAAGTTATTACAGAGAATGCAACAATGATAATATAAAATAGCAAAGGAAAGAGTACTGTTCCTATTCTTTTTTATGAACACAACACACACACACACAACCACACACAAGTGCTTCTTAGAGAGGAAAAATTTAATTAAACATTAGCTTCTTTAAGAGACTATGAGGGCTGTCTTTGTTTTATGGGTGTCAGACATTGTGGTTCGGTATGAGGCAAAAATCACATGACTGGATCGTTGCAGAGCTACAAGGAGAATGGAAGAAACAAGATGTACACTTGCTTGCTTGCAAGCATTCCAGCTAGTATCTTAACAAGTTTGCAACTTCCAAAACATTCAGCTTTCTTTCAGATATTTAAGATAAAATTTTTATTTCCTGTTATTTCACTTTTCTGGGAGCCACAATAAAAATCTGGGGGTCTCATTCTCATTTACCCATGGATCCTTCCATACTACCTGGACTTCACTGTAACTGAGAATAAAGTCTCTAATATTCATTTTATTTAATATAAAATAAAATCAGTTTTAATGTCCCAAGGTCCCAGGATTCCAAGACATAACTAAGTGGTAGTCTTAAAGGACACAAATTTCTAGAAACAGATGCATCTAGCAAGCAGCCTATTGCTAGGTTTCCTCCTCTGAGAAGTACTGCATTATAAGCACTAGAGGATCACATGGCCCAGGGGAATAAGGTCATAGTATCTACATTAGTACATTTCTTCATTATTAACAATAATTTCATAACTTCATACCATTTCATGATCATTTTCTCAAAGATGATAAGCTAATTATTCATTAGGTACTTAGAATATGTAAGGAGGCACATGTACCTTGCCAATATTTTGTCAGACATAGTCTGTTGAAGAATTGCCACATTATATAGGTATATCTTCTATAACAACAGTGTTTTCAGTTCTCTCGTTGCTACATCAGAAGTTCTGCTCTTGTCTTTGGACTCATCTTAGACGTTCCGTTATTTATCTTCTTTAGTGATATTTTCAATTGAGTTACCTGACTATGGAGGAATTTTGATATGTTAATTGATTTATGAATACTATTTCTGCATCACACTCTAAGAAATGAGCTGGAAATGATGAGCTCTGAAGCTGTAAGTAAAGAGCTTCAAAATAGAAACATTTTCAAAATTTATCAATATCAAATAATGTAGTATTTGCAGAGAAATAATTAAATTAGTTTTCCCAAAGATAAAATGAATTGATCTAATCATTGAGGAAGAAATGTTTGTGGGTTTGGATTTGTTTTTTCAAGTTGAAAAGGAAAGTAGTAATGGCTTTATATGTACAATTCAAATTTAAGTAAAAAAAAAAATATTATAATTTAGCCTACACTTGTGACTCTGAAATACCACAAGTTTGGCTAATTTAGTGGAAAATTTATCAGAATCACTTAGACAGGAAACTAACATCGAAGAGCTTCCTTAGTAGTTCCAAAATACAGAAAGACCAGTTAACTCTAGCCATCTATAGTCGTAAAAATTCATCTTTAGCATTTCTTGGCCACTCTTACTCATTTGCCTTTATCTTTCAAGCTGTCTTTAAATCTCATTTGGTATCTGTGCCTATTTTTACTGATACGGCTGATTAATACTACTACCAAGCAATTTATCTTTTTTTTTTTCCACAGCAGTTTTCAGCTTTGATTTTGTTACTCTTTTTCAAGACACAAAGAAGTTTTTCAGTTGAAGAACACATAATTGGAAGGGGTCTACGGGATCAGTCCTGCAAGTAATGTCAGAGAGAACTACTTTGTTAATTCCTTTCGATCAAGTTCCATCTTACTCACCACTACTTCAATTGGACGACTGTTGCTGAATTTCACACCGCTAGAGATTTTCTTTTATTTTTCAGCCTAAAATTTATTCATGGTCAAGTGTATCCATTCGTTATGTCAATGCTGTCCTTGGTCTACCCATAAATATAATTAAATATCCTTTTAACTTCTGCTTTGTTAAGGTCAACCAGCCATGCTTTTTTAATCTTTACTCATATGGCATTTTGTCAGTGTCTGAACAGTAAACATTTTCTGTGCTCCCAGTATTCCAGATTGGATTGCACTAGAACCTGTATAATGCTATTAATATTCTACTCGGAAATAATTTCTTGATGTCTTGTACATTTTTAAATATATATACACACAACCCCCAAATCTACACATTTGTTTGTAAAATTGTTTTGTAAATTACCTCTTTTCTTAATAGAGAGCAGACTAGCAATAGATTTCAAAACAGTAAGAATTACTAACAACTTTATGTCATGCATAAAAATTCATCCTTGTTCATATTTTCTTGGAACTTAGTATTTTTGGGGCAAATTGTTAGATTTTTTTTAGAGTATTCTAGATTGATGGGTTCTATAAATAGAATAATCTGAAGTATTTTACTTAAAAGTAACTATATTCAATGCCAAAATGATAAATGGCAATCTACAATACCCTAAAAAAAAAAAAACCCAAACATTTTCAGAAGAGGAACACAGAAGGTAAAAGAACAGAGAGTAAATGTAAGAAATTGAGCCACTGAAGTCATCCTGCTGAAAACCACTGTCCACAGAACTGAGCAACATTGTGCCCCTAAGCAATTGTTGTACTACATAATGAGTGTTTAAAAACTCAATGAAAGGCCAGCTACTTTTTCCTTCATGGGTTTTGTGGTTTGGTTTGTTGGGGTTTTTTTTAATCAAAGGCAATGTCCAGAAACATTATCAGTACTAAAGAATCTGTTCATGGCATTGTTTTACAAAAGTTCCTAACAGACAGTGACTACTTTATTGTTGGATGTATCCTTTATTTTATTAATGATGAGAAGTAATCAATGGAATGCTAGAAATAAACTTGTAAAGAAATCTAGTCTGAAATCTGAATCTGTTGTTTGAAGCAAGTTCAGTGGTCTCGGTAACACCAGTTGAAGATTGACTCTTGCCCATTGTGAAATAGGCATGGCTCTTCTAAAAAGGTCACAAATTTTTCAAATATAGGCACCATGTTGTAAGTTTTGCACATACAAAATATGTTCATGTCACTCAAATTACACAATGTGGCAGTGTTATAAGTCTGAACATTATTGTCAATTAATGGCAGAGAAAAGAGCCCAAAGCTCACGTAAGACTAATGACTGGGACAAATCCTGAAAAGAGACAAAAAGTATAAAACAACAGTTTTTCTGCTATATGTGGTCTTGTGTGTGCATGTGTGAGAGTGTATATAACAAAAAATGTTTAAGAGTAAGTTCAGATAATAGCCCATCCATTTGTTCTCAGCTTCTTATCCAGTTTCATCGCTAAAGGTTTTGATTTTAAATGCATGTTAATATGCAAATTCAAATCCCATATAAACCATTAGTTAGTGTGTTGACTGGTTCAAACCAATCAAAATTGAGAATTACCGCCGAATGTCTTCATTTTAATCTACTTGTCAGCCTCTGGGTATGTAGGATACTTGACTGTCTCAATTTTCTCCTTAACTTTATAGGACGGGTACAGGCCTGTTCTTCCTAATTTCCTATTGATGCCTTTTGAATAACCATCCCAGTGGTTTCCAGCTACTCCAATGATATCTCCAGGTTCCATAGGAATTTCATCAGCAGTTCGTGGATGATGAGCATAAATAGCAATCTGGTTGTGGGCATTCTGTCCCCCAAAGTAGTAGATATCATCTAAAGAATGGAAATACGCTGAAGCATCCGGATGCAATGTCTGCATAATTTCATAGGCAACTCGACAAACCTTGGAAATAAAAGCAGAAAAGAAGTAATAAATATTGTGTGTGCCTGCAATATGCCACAGAAGTCAGCAACCAATGTGTAACAATTAAAATTTCACCAGAGGATCAAGTTTTGGAAAGTCCAGGTCAAAACCCCAAATAAAACCAAACAAAACAACAACAAACAACCTGCATATTTACTAACAAGAAGCATACAATTTTGCAGCTTTTTAATTAGTACTCTGGTGATCAGATTTGTTAAATAAGTAAGTAAATAGATAAATAATTAGAACAGTCTACTTTTCGGTAAAAATTGAAAATGTCTACGTGAAGACTAGCCATCCTGCTTAAAATGAATGATATGTAGCCAAACAAATGTAAAAGCAACTTCGTTTTCCTTTTCTACTACTAATAAAAATTGTATTTCACTTCCCTTTGAACCTTTAAAACTTACATTTTCAAAATTTATTCTGCAATAATGAGGCTTTACATTTACTTTTCTAAGGAAGCTCCAATTTTCACAATCAAGCAGTTCCAGAAGTCCAAGGCTTTAAAATGCTGTTAATATTAGAACAGTGATAGAATTATGACTGTTGGCAACTTGGAAGACAACTAAATGAAACTGAATTCCAGCAAGACAATAATGATGTTGGTGAGGAAAAAGATGCATTTTGAAGTGTCATTGTATCACAGTATATGAAGGGAATCTTCAGACTGAAAACAGGTCCCCGCATCAGAATCATGTTGTACCTCTCAGAGTTGCCAGAAACACAAAAGGTTGGCATTACATTAAACAAAGCTCTTTTCAACAATTGGCTAGACAGCTCTTCTCTGTCAGGTGTCCAATATGGCCACTGTGACCTCTTCAACTTCTAATCTACATCTTTCTCTGATTTTGCATAAGTTTGATAAACTAACAATACAGTAGACCTTCAACAAGTAGCAGCATTTGAGCTTTTTCATAATTTTCAGTCTACGTAAATATAATACAGCTTGATTTTAGTTTTCTTTTCTCTCTCTGAAGAGAAGATGAATAGAACTTTGGCCAGTCAAACTAGACATATTTGTACTTTCCTAGCTTCTTTGAGAGAGGCATTTGCTTTAAAAATGTAAGAGATTTCCTTTTATCCCTCTCCATCTGATCTTTGAAATAACTTTTCAGAAGTAGTTTGCAGAAGATCAGGCTGAAGTTAATTATTTCAAAATACTTGTTATACCCCACAATATAGAAACAAATTTGATTACCCACACATTGGTAAGAGGTTATTTATTTTACAGCTTCTCTGACTGTTTTTGATGTTTTGTTCTCTGCATGTGTGTGCACCCCAGGAGGATATACACACGCACTCTGTAAAAGCTTTTCAATCTTTTCATTAGAAATGCTTTCTAGTGAGCGTAAGTGTCCTGCATATCTGACATAAAACATACATTATCTCCTCTCAGCAATTGTTTCCTTTGCAGCACCAAACTTGGGTAACTAAACTGTAAGCTGTTGAGGGCAGTAGGCAAAGAATCCACATGTAGAATTATAGTTAAAGCCAGCCTCCCATTTTTTATTCATAGATTCACTTGTTTTGCAGCCTGTATACTTACATGTACAATGCAAAATACAAAGGTTAATAAATCCTGAAAGGAAATGAGATTATCAAGAAAAATATGTCAGGCAGAGGGAGCTACAATTTCATCTAAATGAAGACTGCAGAGAAAAAAGCTCTTTGTTTTAATGTGCAATCTTAATTCTGCTACTGTGTTATGATTTGTGTAACTACCATGTGGCTTTTCTATATAGCTCAATTAAGGCGACGTTGCTGAAATACAGTGCCAAAGTGGATTGTTTCCCTTGACTCCACCTCACTTGACGGACCTAATTTCTTTAACAACAGTATTTTAATGAAATATCTATTCTTCAGCTTCTATCAGTATTCATTTAAGTTTTGGTAGCATAAATAAGAATATAGGAGACTTCCTAAAGCACCTGGTTGTACTCACATACACTGTAATTTTCTCTTAATATCTCTGTAATGAAGTTTTGACTCTTTTTGGCAAGGAAAAGAAAATGGAAAAAAGTCAGCATACAATTGATTAACGTGAAAGACCAAAATCACATTGGAAATGAATGAGACTACATTCTTATCCTTCCTTTCTCTTCATACAGATTGGACAAAAGATGGTCATTAACAGTCTGATTTTGCTTACCTTCAGTGCCAAAGTAACTACTAAACTGTTTATTTCATTGATGAAAGGACAGAGACAGTAGTTCAAATGTTAGAGATCAGAGGATTCAACTTTTAACCCATAAAAGAGAAATCTTGATTTTGAACAGTGTGAAAACTTGCAACAGACTTTAAAAGCCCAGTATGTGAAAATACTGTAGAGATCCACATTGTTTCATGACCAGCAAAACTGGTGCTAAATGATTTTTGAGGAGTTTGAATTATTAAAGCACAAGAAATTACTCAGAATAAATTAAGCAGATGCTTGGACCAAATTCATAGTCCCAGCTCTTGAGAATAACAGTCTAATACAGGATTTCCTAGTAGAGTTTTCTGCAACTGTGGAAAACCAAATATGTCATCCAGCAAACATGTCTATTGTCAAATGCAGGGAGATGCAGAATGAGACTGGACCTCAAAGATATCATGTACCTCAGTACCTCAAAGGCACCTTCAAAGGGGGTTGTACCAGATGACCTCCAGAGTTCCCCATCAATCTGTATCACCTAAACTACGTCAATGCATTTTGACATATATTCTTCTTCTGAAATGACTCCAACACTTACAATTCAATTACAATATATTCTGTCCAAGCCATTTGTACCTACATTTAAATATGTTTCTTCTATGTTTATACCCAGTGTTTTATTTAAAGCAAACATTTACCACTTTTAACATAGCTATCTGAATGTAACATAGCAGAAAATGTTATAGATTTCTTTTAAAGTTTTTAAACCAAGATCACGTAATTCTTCCTTCAGAATATGAACTGTCTCTACACCAATGCATGTGTGGCATTTAAGATATACAGCCCTAGGTCTTAGCTGATGATCACCTCTTTCACTGTGATATGCATTCAGCTGACATACTTCAAACATTACTATAAAAGTGGATGGCTCCTTGAAAGCTTTTCTTAGTGAGGATTTTTACTTTGGAGTTTATTTGTGTCTTGGTCTGAAGTAGAGTATATTAATAACCTTCTAAATATGCTATAAAATGTAATTTTTTGCACAGGGTTTGGTGAACACTGAAAAAAATGTATCCACCAGCATGACTGAGGGATAAGAGGCTTTTCTACACTTTTTAATGGTTCTGCTGTCTTCTTCCCATGGTAATGTTACCAAGAATTCTGGCTGTCAAGGTCAATGTATCACTGTATTGATCACATACTAGTATTAATATTATGCTTGTTACCCATCTAATTGCCACTACAGTGCAGAAGACAATTTACATTTGAGGCTATGGAAAACACTTCTCTCTGAAGTGAATTTTAACTTTCAGTTTTGGGTCCTCTTCCATGTATCAGTATAATCATGTGTGATCATAATCTATGACCATCTATAGTTAAATGCTTCCCAAACCAGGAGTGTCACCCAAGAGCACATATGACAACAGCAGGTAAAAAACATTCACTTGTGATTTCAATCGTATTTTGCCATACTTGAATTAGGTGGGTCAGCATATCAGTCACAAAATACTGCTTTCTGGTCTTTTTTAACCTGAAAACAGTTTTTTAAAACAGTTTTCATTATATATGAAATTAATATACAATATGACATAATAAGGAAGAAAACGCCAACAATGACAATTATATGATTTCGTTTTCTAATGGACTCCAACTTGCTTCATCAGATCACACAAGAAAGGAAGCTTGTAGCATATAATTATATGCAAGAAGCCTCTACAGATTACAGTGGTCAGACTTCGCGTTTATTGCGCTGCCGCTGGATTGCTAGAAATGTAATAGACTGAAGAGAAATTAAATGTCTGCTTTCTTCATTATTTTCCATTCCCACAATCAAGCAAGGCAACAGCAAACATGTTTGAACTGTAGTAGAGTGCAATGATGTGTAGAAATGGATAGACACAAGTGATACATTAACCTTATGCAAAATTAAGAAGTGTTATAAGAACTTTATGCAAAACAAGGAACTCTTAAACATGTTTAATATTATTTCTTGCTTATTTCAAATGTCTTAATTAAGCCAATAACTTCAACTGAGGAGAAGTAATCAACCAGTGCTTACAGTCCTCTAAATGTTCACATAGCATACCGAGCCTTTAATTCTTCCCTGAAATTTTCATGAGAGAACACTGAGAATAAGAGAACAGGAGCATGAAGAAAACTGGTACATACACTCTATATTGTATTTCTATTGCAGTTTACCTGGGATGAAAATGTACAGACCAGGAAGTCTGCCTGAGACAAAAAGTGAATATCCAGAATAACACCTCTTAGGGAGTTTTCAGTGTATCGGTTATGAAGTCCTGCGGACCAGGATATGGAGTTATCACTGATAAATTCGTAATTTGGATACCTGTGAAAATACAATACACTGTTAACAGTAAAGTCTTATTCTATTTTTTTAACTTTTTTTTTTTTAAAAGAAGCATCATCTTTGCTGCAAGATAAGGTTGTTAATTTGTTTTAAGTGAGTCTCTGCTTTACAGGGAATAAATCATAATTTTGCTGAACACTCTAGAATGTTGCCTCCAAGCATGCCCTCTCTTTATCCAGAAAAAAAGAAACTTAAATAAAAAGACACTCTAAGTCTGCCTGAGATCTGACACTGTAAAAGTGGAAGAGTATCAGGAAGCATTGCGCCACATTCTGCTAATGCTACTGATTTCAGATGAAATATACTCAGATCACTTCGCTTTCTCTACTACTAAACAGAATATGGGATTGTGTCTTTACTAGACTATACTTTGTTTATTACCATATTCTCTGTTAGATATCAATTATGACACCGCCAGAAAATCCATCAGTCACCTGTAAAAGGGACATATTAAATAAACGAATCCAAACTGACCAAACAACTAAATGTCTTTCACAGTCATTAAGGCCTCATGGAGAAAAAATTTTGCAATTTACTGGTCAAAAGGAAATAAAAGAAATGTAAAATTTCATGCCAACACACCTTTCTTGACATATCACAGACAAAATAGTAATACTTTAAGTAAAAATATTTTTATTTGAAATATAAAACCTTGGTTTATATTATTTTAAAAATAACATTAGAAGTTTCCAACATGTAACAATGACTTTGAAAGAAAAAAAAATCCTTTTTAAAAATGTTTAAAAAAAGAGGTCTTTCTCAAAACATTTCTAACCTCTTTACTGGGAACCAAAAACTGAAATAAACTGCAAAAAGTAGCAAAAATTAATTAAATTTTCAGTCAGTCTCCTACCAAAAATAAATTTTATATGAAAAATTCCAGGTAGATGTAACAAAGATGATAATTACATTGCTGTTACAATAATTATATTTCAATCACGAAGCACAATTCATGTGGCTAACCTGCCAACTACAAAATTTCAACTACAGGTTTAATTATAAAACAATTTAAATAAAATCTAGTTTTCAAATTTACAACTTCATAGCACTTACAAAGCAATACGTCACCTAAGATAGTAAGGCAGTTAATATTACATTTGTAAGAATTAATCATTCTTGAACAGTTTAATAAAGAAAATCAGAATATAGAGCAGCCCGTAATGCTGAAGCAACAATAACTTAGACCTGTAAGTAGATGCTTCAAAGCCTGGCAGTCCTGTGCTGAACATTGCACAAAATAATTTTTATACTCGTGAGTTCTTGGAATGTTACTGAAGTTAGCACGCACTTGTCTACAACAATGCAGCATGTGTGTACACTCTGAACAGACAGTAGACATCATTAAGACAACCTCTTGTGAGAATATACCTAATTTATTCCTTTTTAATGTTAAAACTATGGGAAAATTTTTTCAAAAGTGAAATGGGCAAAGATAGCAGGCTTTTCTATCTAACATTCACTAGCCGTGACTACCAAATCAGGAAATTTATCTTAAGAGCGAATTAAAAAAGTCATATGCAAAACTTCCACACTTGAGAATGAATTTTAATATATCTTCATAGTGATTTTAATAGAATTTTATGTTCCCAAGAGAAACATCTGCTCTGACAAAAAATAATATGTGTGGTAAATTTCCCAGAGACAGCATGACAACTTTAAAGGGTGAATTTAGTCATTACTGTCAGGGGAAGTTCATGTTACATCAAAAACAAGACAAAACAAAGCAAACAAACAAAAAAAAAGGAAGAGAAGGTAGAAATATTTGTCATTGGGAATAAATAAGACCTCTTCTGAGGAATTATAGAAGCATATGGATCAAGAAATAGCTTTTTCAAGATGAACTCTATCACAATGATCATTTTCTTATCTTCTCATGTCTAACATTTTTGTCAATACTTAACCAGTTCTCAAAATACAACAGATGACAACACAATATTTGTGATACGTTCTATTTCTGTTTCCATGGTGTGAATCATATCAGCATTTTTTTAAAAGAAAAAAAACTACAAACCAAACGGAAATATGTCATACTCTATTGTGAAAACTAGCTGAGGAACAGAGATGGGCATCAGTCTTATTTCAGTGACAAAACTCTGAGGGGAGCAACATGAAGAACGTTTAACAGATGTTGTCAATTCTAGGGATAGTGAACATAATAAAGATATTTGCACACCCCTTTGCAAGTTCTTGGCATCAGGAATACTGCTGAAATTAATCACTTTCTTCAGACTTCAAAAATCAGAATCCACATGCTGAGTAGAGATAAAAGAATCTTTCTGGAAGAATCTGATTTCTTACCAGCAAAAGATCAATCTAATAACTTAAAAAATGAAGCACACCAAAAAAAAAGTGTCATATTGCATCTGGTTAAAAACAATCAAAAAAACCCAAAAAACCTCAAACAAAAACACACACCACACACCCCCCCTCAGAATCATTTACACATCTTCTTATGCATACATTTAAAATTTTCTCCTTCCTCCCTTTATTCCGGAAACAAGACTTTGAGATGCTTTTAAATCTGGTCTTCAATTCAATTTTGTAAAGTTGATGCAAATTTACCTAATCAACAGTTTCAGAACCTATTTCTTCAAACCAGTGATCCAAGCTTAGCATTTATCTACTCGCATGTTTATGTTTTCAAACAAGCATTTTTATGTTGCCCACACAAATAATGCTTGGGAAAAGAATTTTCATGATTGGGAAAAGTGGTTTCTGTTAAACACCGTAACATGTGAGTATAATAGCAGCCATACTGAGTATGATCAAAGAACCTTCTATTCCACCATCCCATCTCCAACACAGGCTGAAAGCAGAGCATAAAGAAAAATGGAGTAAAAGGCCAAGCCAATACTCCTCTCAAGCCTAGGTAAATGTGGTCCACTGACTTACTGCATCAGGTGAGGTTTAATTCCCCTTCCCACTCACTGTAGTGTTTTAGATTCTATTTAAAGCTATTCTTACTACAAAGGCTACAAAGAATAAAGGTAATGAAACTTTGAAAGCTCTATAGTTAGCTCTCGCTTCCTTCTATTCCCTTTTCTGTCTGTATATGATTAATGCAATACTTATATTGTAAGCTTTTGGGGAATTTTTTTTCTTTTTAAGCAGAATTTGGGCACGATCCTATTACTAGGATTCCTGAATGCATGGTAAACGAATAATAAATAGTAAGATGTCATATTCTTACTGATAGAATCACCTAAATACAGTATTTTGTAGGATGCCTCCTAGCTTTCCAAAGAAATTACCCACATGTTTTCTTCTCTCTAACAGGAAAGGACCAGACTGTGAAGATTAAAAAAAAAAAAAAAAAAGGAAACTGGCATAATGCTGTTTTCTTTGTATCAGATGACACGTACGTAGTATGCCTCCTCCACATATCTAAAAGTAATATCTAGCTCTTCTAAAGCTACCTAATAGATTCTTGAAACCTATACACAAGCTAGGAAGGATTCCCCCCACCCCCGCCCTGTCCCCCTAGGGAAAGGGGAGAAGAAGAAATCAGAAGAAGATGGGGAAGAGGTAGTTTAAATTCTTTCCTTCCTGCACCTACCAGCCTCAGACAAGGATACAAACCAAGCACAGTGATGAGACTATTTCAAGTTCCAATTGATTTCAGAAGCTGATCAAATAGCTGTGTAACCAGAGCTTATCACTACACTCTACAGCAGGTGCAAACCAAGGCAAGTCCCAGGCTCCTGTTCTCAATTCACTAGGACTGGGGAAGTGTTCAGAAGAGGCAATGCAAGATTTCTTCCCTCTGAAAGAAGAGTGTGAGCATGTGTGTAAACAGATGGACTAAGAAATATGTTTGTCCAGGTCTTGCTCTAAAAAGAATTAGAAAATGTATGAGCTGTTCATCAGACTCAAGAACTTTGAAGCACTACTGAATTCTATGAGTCAGGCATTCTATGACTCAGGACCGGGGACAGTTGCAACAGCTAAACTACACATAATACCTGGGAAGAAAAGACATTAACTTGCTATTGTGGAAGTAAATAAACAGTGAAATAGAGTGGGGGAAAAAAAGCTTTCATAAGTGCTGAAAAAAAAAAACCAAAACCAACCAAACAAACAAAAAAACCAAAAAACTCATGAGGGAGGCAAATTACTGCAAAAAAAAAATAAAATTAAAAAGCAAAATACAGATGACTTTACAGGTAAACATCCTGAAAGACAGAATGTAATTTGTTGAATTTTATTGCCCATATACATGAGAAAGAGACCTAAATAGATTCATATATAAGCCAGAAAGGTATTAAATATGGTTTCTTAAGAATTTATGTGCATGTTCAGCCTCATTATTTTGAATATCTTAAAGAGAGAAGATGCTGTAAATAATATTATAGACTAGAAATACATATACTAGAAATCCAAAAATTTGTATTTGAAAACTATTAAATCAGCCAAATAACAAGCAATTTACACCATCCCTAACATCACTTAGATAAGACAAATACTATGACCCCTGCTTACTGGTTGTTGTCAAGTGCTTTAATCCCATAATCATTGCAGCTGTTGAACTCTCAACCATGCTCATCTCTAATCATGTTGTTCTGTATCATCCTAATTCTGAAAATATACCACTTCTTTCTTTCTTTTGGAAAACAAAACAAACAAAAGCACTCTACAAACTGATAGTACTAAGTCCACTATCTTTACTACAGTACTTGCAGTTGGTAGACATCTGACTGCAAGGGAAGTTTCTGAAACTTAAGTCAAAATATTTCTGTTTTCATGACTACAAATAGTTTGAAATACTTCTCTGAATAGAAACAACATGCCTATTCATGTGAACTTTGTCTAAATTTTCATTATTTAAATGCCAACACTGTTTGACAACCAACCACTCTCATGTAAAGAGATACAGTATCTAGTACTTACTAAAATTACTGCACCCAGTAACGAATGCAACATAAGCCACTGCAGTACAATGTGACAGCTGTTTCCATCAAAGCTTGGCAGTTCAATGCGACTAGAACTTTTTTCTCGGAAGCATAAACTAATTTGTAGTTTTCTTCACAAGAAGAGGAAGAAAAGGTTCTTTATACCCAAAAGCTGACTTAGCCTGCCTTCAGGTGCCCTTAAATGCTGAAACATCAAATTTCATCCTGCCTTCTATGAAATCACAGAGAGTTTCAAATGCCTGCTACTCAACTGCAAGCAACAGTACGGTGTAACCAACTTAAGAAATTACATTTCAGTGTAAACTGTGACCTGAAAACTCAGCAGCAACACATCAAAAAAATTCTTCACTACTTACAGATTCTATGGCTTTTATTAAGAAAACTTACAAAACAAATGCTGTACTATTGAGCTGAAACTTCTCATATTTCAGTAAAAGTGTGATTTGGAATGGACATTGAATTGCCACAAAAACTGAAGTGTTTAATAAAATTCAATATTGTTTTACTGAGCAAGTGACAATTCTACTATTAGTTTTTGTTGCTATTGAAAACTTGGGATGATATGTTTACCCAGGCAGTGCATCTCATTAGTATTCACAAGGCTAAAGCATACAGTGCTAAGGATTGAAAGTTGAACACAAATAAAGAAAAAATGCATAACTAGGCTTGTTACAGCAATATTGAATTCTGTTATGTTAAAAAATAGTAATTAAAGTTATTTAGTACAATGTAATGAATTAAATATTATAACCTCAATTTTGTATTACCTGTCTTTTCATTGTTCAGATTTGCACTTTAAATGTTATGTTATCATAATTGTTTCTGCTACTGTTCTTGTCTCTACATATACAAAAAAAGGAAGGATTAGATTGCCATCATCTGGAATTGTGTATGCTCGTTTAGTTTTTTCAAAACTCCATAATTTTAAACAGCAGCCCTTTATAGATATGAAAGAAAAATAGAAATAGCACAATTGAAATACACAGGTTTGCAATGCTGTAGAAAATTCCTCTACTACAAAATAAGATTTTCTGCTCACCTTGTATATGCCAAAGAAAATTTGTAATCCAGTATGTTATCTTATGTACTTTTCCAAGCATGTCTACCAAGAACAAAACATTTAAAAAATTGCCACTTTTGAGTTACCTTGGTTTTAAAAAGTATTGATTTCCTTGCTTAAATGAAAAAATACATATTCTTCTGCTCAAGGGAGATAAAACTTTGGAAATGGAAACAGGTGCTATTCAGCAGACAAATAAATAGTACTCACAAGAAAAACATGCTAACTTGTATTCGGTAACGAATATGCTTCAATCCAACGCACCTGAAATACTTATCCAAGTTTCCATAGGTGTAGCAATAAGCATTTGTGAAATTGTTTATATACCATAAACACCATAACCCAAGAAAGATAGAGTTAAATATGGAACATTATTCCTCCGTATGCATCTGCTTTCTTTTACTGAACAGAAGGTTTTATCATCTCAGTGACGCCTTGCAAAACATGCAACTTAACAATGAGTTTTTACAGGAAACTACAGGCCATGTTAGGAGTAAATGAATGCATACTGTGCATTTCCAGGTTTGAACACAGTTCTGCTTTCTATGACAGGCTGGGTAAGTTGCTACACCCATGTTCTGGAGAGCTAGAAGATGACAAAGAACAAAAAGGGACAGAGGCAATGCTACAGATCGAGAATCCCAAATATATGTAAGGGTAAACTTTAAAATTACTCAATGTGTAGGGTGAAAGTCTTCTAAGTTGTCAATACAGAAATCTTTCTGAAAGAGTCATCAGAAGTTTTTCAACTAACTTACAAAAATTCCTACTGCAATTATTCACAGAAAGGTATTGTTTGGACAGGTGAAACTTCTTAATACATTAACTAGTTTTTACAATATTTCTGATTAGTTTCTTCTTAATATGTATGTTCTATAGGAAGATTAGTGTATTTATTATTTATATTTTTACTTCCCTTTTACAGCATTGGTTTGTTTTTAAATAGTCACAGGTATCTTGCTCAACTCTTCTAGATTTTTAACATTAAGCTTTGAAAATCATACTTGGAAAAAAGTCATCCAAAAAAGAGAATGTCAGAGAAAAATCAAAATCACTGGAAGTTGAAATACAATCTTAACTGTATAAATGATAACAAAAAAAAAAAAGGATACTAAGATTTGCCACACAATAGTCAGAAATTGTAAAGCTAACCAGAAGGAACAAACTGTAATATAAACATAATTCATCTTACTTGGATTTTGCCTCTTGCAACAATGATGGGTCATCTGTAGCCAAATACACTCTTTTTTTGTCAACATGCATTCTGCGAGCAAGAAGTTCAAAACGCTCTTCAACATGTACCAT